ATGATGAGTGTGAGTGCTCCCAAAAAATAGGGGGGACCCCCCCTCACCCCACCCCCAAAACCACGACCTCGTGTATGTGACCTGGGGAAGTTGTCCTGCCACCCTTGTGGCACTGTCCTGCTACCCCCCTCCTCCTGTGCTTCACCTGGGGAGAATGAGACCATATGGGGGCTGCTGGGGGACCCCCACACACCCCTGTACCCCTCACATGGCATCCACCTTGGTGGGCACAACCTCATTGGTGACCTGGGGGAGTCCTGCTGTCACCTTCATGTCCCTATGCCATTCTCCTGCCACCTCCATACCCTTGGGCCATCCTTCTGTGTTTCACCTGGGGGACACAAGACCGTATGGGGCCTTCTGGGGCACCCCCCCACACACCTCAGCCCCCCCCAAAATCGCACCCACCCTGGTGGGCACAACCCCAGGGGAGTCCTCCTACCACCTCCATGTCACCGTGCTGTCCACCTGCCACCCCCATATCCCTGGGCCACCCTCCTGTTCTTCACCTGGGGGGGGACAGGAGCCCACAAAGGGGTTCGTGGGGACCCCCACGTGGCCCTGCACCCCCAAAATGACAGCCACCCCCCTGCCTGGCAGGCAAGCGGCGCTACAACATCAAGCTCTGGAAGACGTTCACTGATTGCTTCAACTGTCTGCCCATCGCAGCCATTGTGGATGAGAAGATCTTCTGCTGCCATGGAGGTGGGCATGAACCTGCCAGGGCTTTTTGGGTGCTGGAAGAGGGGGTACTGGAGGTGGCCCGGGGGTGGGAAAGCCCCCCTGAAGAGGTAGAACCTGATGGAGCCTCTTTGTGGTTGATGGGAATCTTTGTACCAACCGTGTCTTGGGCTGTGTCGACAGCCAGGTGACCAGGAGGTCGTGGGAGGGGCTTGTCCCCCTCTGCTCCACTCTGGTGAGACCCCCCATGCAGGGCTGGGTCCAGCTCTGGGGTCCCCAACACAAAGACATGGAGCTCATGGAGAGAGTCCTGAGGAAGCCACGGAGATGATGGGAAGGCTGGAGCAGCTCTGGGGACAGGCTGGGAGAGTTGGGGTGTTCAGCCTGGAGAAGAGAAGGCTCCAGGGAGACCTTAGAGCAGCTTCCAGTACCTGAAGGGGCTCCAGGAAAGCTGGAGAGGGACCTGGGACAAGGGCAGGGAGGGATGGGATGAGGAATGGATTAAAACTGGAAGAGAAGAGATGGAGATGAGATACTGGAAAGAAAATCTTGGCTGTGAGGGTGGTGAGACCCTGGAACTGGTTTAAGAACAAGTGTTGAAGGGCAGGTTGGACAGTGCTTGGAGCAACCTGGTCTGGTGAGAGGTGCCCCTACCCAGGCAGAGGGTTAGGAACTGGATGATCTTGAAGGTCCCTGCTAACCCACCCTCTTCCCTGACCCCTGTTGCCAGGGCTGTCTCCAGACCTGCAGTCCATGGAGCAGATCAGGAGGATCATGCGACCCACGGACGTGCCAGACCAGGGGCTGCTCTGTGACCTTCTCTGGTCAGACCCCGACAAGGACGTTCAGGGCTGGGGGGAGAACGACCGTGGGGTCTCCTTCACCTTTGGGGCTGAGGTGGTGGCCAAGTTCCTGCACAAGCACGACCTGGATCTCATCTGTCGGGCACACCAGGTACCCTCAGGCCTCCGGAGGTGGGGGGTAGATTCAGGGTCCCTGGAGGGGGTGGATCTTGAGTATGGGGTAGGTGGTTCTACCCCCCCCAAATGGTTGCCCCTCAAGGGCAGGGTTTGCTCCTGGGGCTGACACAGGTGGGGTGTTTGTCCCCCCTCCCCAGCCCTGGGGGGGGTGGTTTGATCTTGTGGGGGGGGCCTTCTTGGGGCTGGGGGGGGTGGAGCCCCCTGGGTGTTTCCTGGGGGGCTGGTCTCACCCCCCCTGTCCCCCCCCCAGGTGGTGGAGGACGGGTACGAGTTCTTTGCCAAGCGCCAGCTCGTCACCCTCTTCTCTGCCCCCAACTACTGTGGGGAGTTCGACAACGCTGGTGCCATGATGAGCGTGGATGAGACCCTCATGTGCTCCTTCCAGGTGGGGGGGGGACTGCCCAGGGGGGTGGGACACTGCCAAGGGCAAGGAGGGGACACTGCCCAATGGGGTGGGAACAGAGCCAGGGTGGGGGGGACAGACCAGGACCATGAGAATTGGGGGTGGAGTTGGATGGAGCTTCTCCCCCTTTCCAAGGAGGGAGGGCAGTAGGGAGCTGGGGGTTATTTGCCCCAGGGGTTTGGCTGTTTGCCCCTGGGGTTGGGTATTTACCCCAGGGGGTGGGTACTGGCCCTGGGAGATGGGTATTTTTCCCAAGGGGGGTGGCTATTGGCCATGAGGAGTGGGTATTTACCCCAGGGGGGTGGCCATTTGCCCCAGTAGGTTGTTTGCCCTGGGGGGGTGATTATTCACCTAGAGGGATTTGTATTTGCCCCAAGGGTGGCTATTTGCCCGGGGGGGTGGTTATTTACCCAGGGGGGTGTTAGTTATTTGCTTAGGGGTGTTGGTTATTTGCTTGGGGATGCTGGTTATTTGCTTGGGGATGCTGGTTTTT